CAACAGAGGATCCCTACACAGCACAACAGGATGCCTGAGAGATCCTTGCAGCTATACATCTGGAGGTGAATTTACTGGACCCCTGGGAAACAGTGGACCTAGGTGAGTGCACACTGCCCTGTTTTCAGTGGCAGTGATCCAGGTCTCAGATCCTCACACAGCAGCCCAGCACAACTGTAAGTGTGGGTGGGGCAGACCAGCCCACAAGCAAATGCTTTCAGAGTGGTAGCTCAGCCTGCAGGAGCACACACTGTGCTGTGGCAGCCAAGCCTGTATAAATGCTCCTGACCAAGACCAAGTGGTGGTGGCTCAGTGGAATACACATTCTTCTCCAAAACAGCTGAATACACATTCTTCTCAATGCACATGGAACATTTTTAAAGGTAGACCATATGTTGGGAAACAAGGCAGCCTCAATAAATTTAAGAAGACTGAAATCATATCAAGCATCTTTTCTGACCACAGTGCTATGAAACTAGAAATCAACTACAGGAAAAAAAGCTGGGAAATGTATATATATGTGCTGATTAAACAAGATGTTACTGAACTACCATTGGATCAATGAAGAAATCAAAGGAGAAATAAAAAAATACCTGGAAACAAATGAAAATGAAAACATGATGTATTAACTCTTATGGGATGCAGCAAAAACAGTACTAAGAGGGAAATTTATAGCACCACAAGCCTACCTCAACAAACAAGAAAAATCTCAAATACATAATCTTAAACTACAACTAACAGATCTAAAAAAAGAAGAACAAGCAAAGACTAAAGTCAGCAGAAGGAGGGAAATATTAAAAGTTAGACCAGAAATAAATGAAATAGAGACTAAAAAAAATTGGAAAGGATCAATTAAACTAAGAGATAGTTCTTTGAGAAGATAAACAAAATTGACAAACCCTTAGCCAGACTCACTAAGAAAGAAATAGAGATGGCTCAAAAAATAAAATTAAAAATGAGAGAGGAGAAATTTTAATGACCACAGAAATACAAAGGATTACAGGAGAATGCTGTGAATATCTATAGCCAACAAATCAGATGATCTAGAAGAAATGGGTAAATTTTTAGGCTCATATGACCTCCCAAAATTGAATCAAGAAGAAATAGAGAATCTGAATAGACCAATCACAACTACGGATTGAAACAGCAATCAAAAATCTCCCAAAAAACAAAATTTCAGGATTAGATGGCTTCTCTGGAGAATTCTACCAAACATTCAAAGAAGAATTAACACCTATCTTTCTCAAACTATTCCAAAAAAACGAAGATGGAATGTTTCCTAACTCATTCTATGAGGTCAACATTACCGTGATACCAACACCAGACAAAGCAACACAAGGAAGGAAAATTACAGGCCAATATCACTGAGGAATATATACGCAAAAATCCTCGACAAAAAATCGGCAAATTGAATACAGCAATACATTAAAAGGATTATTCACCTTGCCCAAGTGGGATTTATTCCAGCGATGTAGGGATGGTTCAACATCCACAAGTCAATCAATGTGATACACCACCACATTAACAAAATCAGTACTAAAAATCACATGATCTTATCAATAGATGCAGAGAAAGCACTTGACAAGATCCAACATCCATTTATGATAATAACTCTCAGTAAAATAGGTATAGAAGGAAAGTACCACAACATAATAAAGCCGAAATATGACAAACCCACAGCCAAAATCATACTCAGTGGTGAAAAACTAAAGCCATCCCTCTGAGAACAGTAACAAGACAAGGCTGCCTGCTCTCCCCACTCCTATTTAACATAGTACTGGAGGTTTTGCCAGAGTGATTAGGCAAGAAAAATAAATAAAAGTTATCCAAACTGGAAAGGAAGAAGTAAGAAGTAAGACTTTCACTGTTTGCAGATGATATGATTCTATATACAGAAAACCCTAAAGAATCCACTAGAAACCATTGCAAGCAATCAACAACTACAGCAAAGTTGCAGGGTAAAAAATCAACCTACAAAAATCCATTGTATTTCTATACACTAACATGAACTGGCAGAAAGAAAAGTTAAGAATATAATCCCTTTTACAATTACAACAAAAAGAATAAAATATCTAGGAATAAATTTAATCAAGGATGGGAATGACCTATACACTGAAAACTGTAAGACATTGAAAGAAATCAAAGAAGACAAAGAAATGAAAAGATATTCCATACTTATGGATTGGAAGAATAAACATAGTTAAAATGTCCATATTACTGAAAACAATCTATAGATTCAATGCAATCCCAATCAGGATCCCAATGACTTTCTTCACAGAAATAGAACAAAGAACCCTAAAATTTATATGGAATAACAAGAGACCACAAGTAGCCAAAGCAATCCTGAGAAAAAAAACAAACCTGGATGCATCACAACCCATGAATTCAAAATATGCTACAAAGCTACAGTAATCAAAACAGCATAGTGCTGGCACAAAAACAGAAACACAGATCAATGAAAGAGAATTGAAAGCCCAGAAATAAAGCAGCACACATCCTTGGACAAAGGAGCCAAGAACACACAATGGAGAAAGGGACGTCTCTTCAATAACCAGTGTTGGGAAAACAGGACAGCCACACACAAAAGAATCAACCTAGACCATTATCTTGCACCATACACAAAAATTAACTCAAAATGGGTTAAAGGCTTGCATGTAAGATCTGAAACCATAAAATTCCCAGAAGAAATCATAGGTAGTAACTGTTTGATGTTAGTCCTGGCAGCATCTTTTCAAATACCATGTCTACTCAGGCATAGGAAAAAGTAAAAAATAAAAAGCTTCTGCAAGGCAAAGGAAGCATGAACAAAACGAAAAGACAACCTACCAACTGGGAGAATATATTTACAAATCTTATATCCAACAAGGGGTTAATTTCAAAGATATATTAAAAACTCCTACAACTCTACAACAAAAAAACAAAAACCCTGATCAAAAAATGGGTAGAGGATATGAACAAATATTTTTCCAAAGAAGATACACAGATGGCCAGCAGGCACATGAAAAAATGTTCAACATCACTAATTATTAGAAAAATTCAAATCTAAACCACAGTGAGATATCACTTTACACCCATCAGAATGGCTATAACTAAGAAGACAAAAAATAAAAAATGTTGGAGAGGATGTGGAGAAAAGGGAACCCTCATGCACTGCTGATGGAAATGCAAACTGGTGCAGCCACTATGGAAAACAGAATGGAGTTTTCTCAAAAAATTAAAAATAGAAATACAATATGATCCAGCTATCCCACTACTGGGTATTTATCCAAAGAATAGGAAATCAACAATAAAAAGAGATTTATGCACCCCTCGGTTCATTGCAGCATTATTCACAATAGCCAAGACATGGAAGGAACCCAAGTGCCCATCAACTGATAAATAGAGAAAGAAGATGTGGTATATATAGTCAATGGAGTACTACTCATCCATAAAAAAGACAAAATGGTCTCATTTGCAGCAACTTGGATGAACCTTGAGGATATTATGTGAAGTGAAATAAGGCAGATAAAGAAAGACAAACACCATATGATTTCACTCATATGTGGAAGATAAACACATGGATACGGAGAACAGATTAATGGTTACCAGAGGGGAAGGAGTTGACAGGTGGGCGAAAGGGGTAAAGGGGCACACATGTATGGTGACAGATGAAAACTAGACTATTGGTGATGAGCACAATGCAGGCTATACAGAAACTGATATATAATAATGTACACCTGAAATTACACAATTTTATAAACAAATATGATCTCAATAAAATAACTTTAAAAAATTCTGATTATGTTATTTATTAGAAGATAGTAAACCTCAGTGAGTGAATTAGAAGCACAGTGGAAAATATACGGGTGAAATTCTTCTATAGATATTAAAATATAGTCTAATTTACTTTGATAAGAGAAGAAGCACAACTAAAAGGGAAAAAGTAAAGGGGTAGTTGTGTGCAGTAAACTTACTTGTACTGGTTCTGAGAGGAACCGAGTGCTTCCTAGTGGCACATACAGTCTTCCAGTAAAAGGCTGAGAAGCTAGGCACAACATGCTCAACATCTGGATTTAAATTTACTGAACGTTTTAGCTCAGACATCTCAGAATCAATTCAATTTGGTAATGGCATCACATGGATGGAAGAAAGGTAGAAGTTCTTTATGGAGCAATACTTAAAAAATTAAATGTGGAACAAATGGTTTTGTATTTTAATTCAAGTTCTGTCGTATATCATATTTAAGTAGAAAACGAGGTTTGCTTATATTATGTTATTGATTTCAAAATTTAAGCACACATATGTTTTTATTTATTTATTTATTTATTTATTTTTAATTGCAGTAACATTGGATTATAACATTATATAGCTTTCGGATGTACATCATAATATATTCCAAATTGTGTGTAGATTACATCATGTTCACCACCCAAAAACTAATTATAGTCCATCCCCTCACATATTTAATATCAATGGTAACCCATCATCACTAACTCAGTGTAATCACAAATAGCATTCTCACCACCATCACTACCATACCACTATCAATTATCATCACATCTATACAGATTTTACTGACGGGATTGCTTATTCTGTCCAGGCATCAATGTTCTTTAACTAATGCGCCCCAGAACCACTAACACAGACTGTTAGACACGGAGAGAATTGAATACAGTGGATTATAGAGCTACAGTCCCTGGCTTCAAATAAATGCTTTCATATTTATTGTGTGCAATCTTGGACAACATATTTAACTTCTCTCTGTGTGCTTCAGTTTCATGATCTGTAAAATCAGATAAGTAATGACAACTAATTCATAGAGGTGTTACAAGAATAAATAATCTATTACATGTAAAGTACTAATAACACCAACTCATATATGTTAAATATTTATTACTCTGTCATTTCAAAGTAATTATTAAATATATAGAGTGTGTATTAAAACCAGTTCAAGATTAAAGCAATATATAACGTATCATGTTAGTATTTTAAATTTTTTTCTCTTCCTATGCTATGATTTCTTTAAGATTCTAGATCTACAGAGCAAGCTTTTATGCAGAACCATGATAAGTGTCATGGGGATGACATCCTTGCTGGAACACTGACTCCTCCAGGAAGTAGAGCTCAGCTAAGCAAGAGGCACTGGACAACTCCCACAGTCTTTTTGATAGCATTCTTGACTTCTTGGTTCCTAAGGCAGTAGATGAAGGGATTTAACATGGGTGCGAGGACTGCATACACAGCTGAGATTAGTTTGTTGGAATTAAATGATGCAATAGCTCTGGGCCGAACATACATGAAAATCATGGCTGTGTAATAAATTATGACTACAGTGAGGTGGGATGCACAGGTGGAGAAGGCTTTCTTCCTCCCTTGGCTGGAGGGTATATGCAGAATAGTGGAGACAATGTAGACATAGGAAAAGACAGTGGTGGTAAGAGGGAAGACAAGAATGACAATAGCTAAGGCAAAGTCCACTAACTCAGCTGTGGACATGTCTTTGCAGGCCAGTTTAAGGATTGGTGAGATGTCACAGAAAAAGTGGTTCATGACATTGGAACCACAAAAGGTGACATTTGAAATGAAATAGACCTTGATCATGGTGATCATGAAACCAGTCATATAGGAGAAAGCCACCAGCTGCACACAATAACCTGTGGTCATGATGACTGAATATTGGAGAGGGTGGCAGATAGCCACATAACGGTCATAGGCCATGGCTGCCAGAAGCACACACTCTGTGCAGGCTAGTGAGATAAAGAAGTAGAGCTGGGTCATGCAACCTGTGAAGGAAATGTGCCGTCTACGCAGGAGAAATCCATCTAGCATCTTGGGGACTGTGACGGAGACATACCAGACCTCCAGGAAGGACAAGCTACTCAGGAAATAGTACATGGGCTTATGGAGGGAGCCAGTGACCCAAACAGTGAGCATGATGACAAGATTCTCCACTACCACCAGCAGATAGACCACAAGGAAGAGGAAGAAGAGCAGGACTTGAAGCCATGGGGCAGTGGGGAAGCCCACCAGGATGAACTCGCTGACCAGAGTGATGTTTTCCTCCAGCATGACTAAGAGCCCTGAGAGGTATTGAAGTCTTCTGTGACAATACCACAAACAACGAACATGACTATGACATCAGACAAGAGATCAAGATAAGATAGTAAATCAGTCTTCCCTGTGAATGAATTCAAAAAATAACTTTGGTTAATACGGAGTCATCTTCTAATGTGAAGCACACAAATTCCTGAAAGTTATTTGTTGCTGTTTCTTTGTTTATCACGGAACTCTCCCAGAATCAAAATGTACTCCCACCTCTGACTCTCACTTACCTGATGAAATACTTGAATGTCACTATGCATATCATTCCCAGCTCCTTTGTCAGTGAACATAGGTGATAGTCTCTCCCTTGTTGGTTCTGGATCTCTGTTCAGTTAGGAACTCACTGCACAAAGTTTTGTTTTTTCCTGCCTGAAAGGAAACAAAGGTTAATATCTGGGTGATCCATTGAATGCTGTCCTTTGATTCAGCACAGTTTCTTCAGAATAGAGTCTGTGGAAGTTAAAAAATGATATAACTCTTGAAAAAATCCTTAATGACTCTCCCATTGCTTTTGGATAAATGTAGAAGTGTTTTCATTATCACACATAGGAAGTACTTGATATACTGATCCCCACCTATTTCTCCAGCCTCATGTCTTTTGACTCTCTAAGTGGTATTCCATGCTCGAGACACACTCTACTAGTTTCTGCTTCCCATGCACAATGCAATCACTGGCACCTGCATACGCTCTTCCCTCCTCCAGTTTCGCCCATTCCCCAATCTTTATCTGCTGATTCAAGATTCAAGGTTCCGCTTAGAAGACATCTCCCAAAGCTGGGTCAAGTGCCTCAATAGCATTCGTTCCCGGTGCACAACCCCCTCATGCATTCAGGTTTCTTTTCACTGCCCTGCAATTTTCCAAAACTCAAGACTGTCCTTCATGACAATGACCCCAATGCCTAGGACAGTGACAAGCAAACATATGAATATTAAATGAATATGGATTAACAAGTGAATTAATGAAGCCCTTGGAGCTTTGTAATCCACAAGATATAGATCTGGGGCAGGGAAGTGTGATCTCACTTCTCTGGCAGGAAGCACCTTTCTATCAGGCTACACATCTGTGGACACATCCTCAGCTTGCACACAGAAGGTCGTTTCATGACAAACATATTCACAAGCTCTGAGAATGCTGGATATGATCCCTGGTCTAATGTTACTTGGTAGGTCAGGTTCTCTAAATATCAGTCATTGTCTCAGGTTCTGGACCAGAGTGGAGAGAAAAGGCCAGGAGAGTGCTGTACATAGACAGACTTGTCCTGTAAGACTGGAAGGCAGAATTATTTGTGAGCTAGTCTGAGAATTCTAATCTTTGGCTAAAGAAGTAGATTACCACAGAGTTATCTCTTGAAAACACATCAATGACTGTTTATCTTCATTAAATGCCTCCCTAATCCATGAAGCCTGAATTCCTGTTCTGCCTTCAGTCCATTACTCACTCTTTCTGCCAAATTATTTGTCCAATATACTGTTCATTTTGCATATGGAGAGGAAGAGGTCAATCAGGGTTCACCTTGATATTCCACAGGACTAGAGATCTTCTGGCTGTGACTCAAAGCAAAGGAGTAAAGGATGAAGTACTGAAATGCCTGTTATTAGCACCACCACCTCCTTTCCATAACAACACACGTGGGCAGAACTCAGTGAGGCTTAATGTGTGGGAAGAGACTGTCTCTTACTCTCAGCCTCACACTTCCACTTTCATCTGTGAGGTAGTTTACTAGTAAAGAATTCTTTGCCTCGGTCCTCAATGCATTCGACAAAGTGCTTTTGCTTGTGAAAAGCATCTGTTTCCGGGAGCAGAGAATATGTTATAGCCCTAGCAGGAAGTAGCACCAATGTAGCAGTTCTGAGTCTTCAGGACATGGATAAAATTCCTCATTTCCATCATCAGCCACACTATTTTCCACACATTAACCTTTACGTACTGGTTTAGAGCACTAATTTTTAGATTTTAGTTTTGGTTTCATTACCTAGGGGGCGTATTGCCTTATACAGGTCACTTGTCAAGTATATACTTCCATACCACCTTTTGTAAAATAGGAATAATTATAATAATGCCTACCTTACTAGATTGTGTTGTGAGAATTAAAAGAGACATCACACAGAAAGCATTAAACATAGGACTTGGCCCATGGTTATGGACCAAACATTAGCTGCTATAAATTATGTTGCATAACACCCATCCATATTTAGTCAATTATGAGTGCTCACATATTTTCACTCACATGGACTTCTAAACACACTCAATCCTTCATTCTCTTTCTTTGCTCAGTTTTTATGTTATATTCTCTGGAATAACATAACTCAACTTTCCTTGATTATAGGATTATAGCATCTTTGAAGAGCTCTGAGTTGCAGATCACTCAGAGCTTCTGGATCTTCTCTTTAAAGTATTGTTTCCACATAGTCAAGCACACACCTACTACTTCATATTTTCCTCCATTTTCTTTGCTGAAAATGCATGTCCCAACAGGCTCTAATTTGAAGCATGAAGAAATGTAGAATTCTATTTTTCTGGCTTTCAGAACTGAGAGCACTGAGCTTTGGGACGTCTATGGTATCCAAGGAAAGAAATTCTTTCATCGTACTATAGTATATTTTTCAGTCCTTGTGCTTCTTCTCAAAGATAATACAGACACTGATAGACTTTTAGAATAAGAAACATATCCTTTGTGCCCTGTCTCAAAACCCAAAAGACCTCACAACTACGCAAAGATGTAGTGTTCCCTGAATCTTCATTTCTCTAGTTATTTCCCTTAACATTCTTTCTCTTGTCCAGGAATGATGCGTGCTGCCATTTTCCCAAGTCCCTCCTCATCTTTCTTGAGCTTCTTTCAAGGATCAACCAATCTCTCTTGGTAACTCCAACTACTCACCATGATCCATTTGCTTTCTCCTGAGAATGGAAAATCCTTCATACGTTTGTACGCATCATGGGAAGCAAATTGATATGCAGATTTTTATACTTCCTGGAGATCCAAGTCTGGTCTCTTCTTAGACTGTGTGGTAGGTATTGCAGGACTAAGACAAGAAGACTTGAGCCAGGGAAGATGAGTATATTTAACACTCACCTGTTTTGCCCATGTCTTTTTCCCAGGAGGCTCATTTATACCTGGTCTGTCCTGGCTCTAGGGAAATGCTCTGTGCACTGACAAACTATGTCCAGCTGACAAGGAAGATGTATCTTCATCCTCTTATCAATTCCTTTTTATACCTGGATCATGTTTATCTATACTTGTGGGTATGATATGGTCATATCCCTTTACTCCTGTATATAAGTTGAAGGAACATCAAATTTACTCAGAAATCAGGATAAGAAATCTAAGTGGGTTAATAAGGTAATAGAGATGTTAATTTGTTTATTCTTTATAGAAAATGTTTTCTGCATTTATTGAGCTCTTATTATGTACAGGGCCCTGTGCTATACATCATTTGGAATAAACATTTTTAGATCATGGTCTCTACCCTCTGGGAATCTATAGTTTTGTAAGTAAAATAAGAAGTATATGCTATAATGAGGGTATAATGTGACACGACCTATACAAGATGCAGAAACAAAGTGCTCTAGGAACTCCAAAGTGGGGGAAATGTTTTCTGACTGAGCAATCTAGAAAGGTTTCATCAAAGGTGTCATTCCAGACATAAAGGAAGAAGTTAGTTTGGAAGCAGTGGAGAGGGAAATGGTATTGATTCAGCAGTCAGAAGACATGGTTCCTAATTTAGTTTCCACCATTTTAAAGAAATATGACTTTAGAAAATTGCCTTTATTCTTCAGTTTATTTATAAATAAAATGGGATAACAATAATTCCCTGGTCTGTGTCCTATCATTGATAGGTTCAAAAGTAATATGTATGTGAAAGCAGTTCTAAAACTGCTCTGTGATAACTATACAAATATAAAATATTACCTCCCTTGGAATATGAACCACAGCCATGATTTGATCAGTGGCAATGAGGTGAGTAGGGCTTTGGCCTTCACAACTTATGCTTAGGACAGTGACTGGCAAACACACGTATTTTTAAAGGAGCATGGATTAACAAGTGAATTAATGAATCCCTTGGAGATTTGGCATCACAAGAAATACATGAGGTGCAAAGAAGTGTGATCTCAGGGTCTTTACTGACAAGAGGCACCTATCCATCAGGCTATACATCTGTGGACACACAGCTTGCACATCCAGGGTACTTTCATGCCAAACATATCCACAGGGTTTGAGAACATTGAATATGATCCCTGGTCTCAGGTCACTTGGAAGGTCAATGTCTCTAAATATGAGTCATTGTTGCAGACTCTGTCTGGAAGGGTAAGAGACAAGAGGTGGGAGAGTGCCCAAATATAGTACAAGGACAGGCAGATGTTGTAACGTTGAAAGGAGGGATTGTGCATGAGCTAGCCCAATTATTTTAACTTGTCGTTAAGGAACTAGGTTACCACAAGGTCATCTCTTGAAAATACATGAATAAATGTGAATCTCTATTAAATGCCAAGCTCATCCGTAAATAGAGAGTTCAGGTCCCACCTTCAGATCACTGCTTACTCTTTCTGCCAAACAATTTATCCACCACACTCCTCACTTGGTACAAAGGGTGGGAGGCCCATCGAGGTTCACCCTGATATCCCATGGGACTAGAAATCTTCTGGATATAGCTCATGGCAAGGGACAGAAAGATGAGGCACTGAAATACATGTTATTGGTGCCACGACCTCCTTTCCATAGCAGCACACATCAGAGGAGCTCAGCCCTAGTTGCTGGGTGGAAAGGAATTAGACCTTACTCTCAGGCCTCCAGCCAACACCTTCACTCTGATGTGGCTCATTAGTAAGTAGTTCCTGGCCTAGTTTTTCAATGCCTTTGATCCATTGCTTTTCCTTGAGAAAAGCAACTGGTTCTGGGAGCAGAAAGTACTGAGTTTTCCCATGTCTTAGACCAAGTAGGAAGAATGCCAAGGCTTTTCCTCAGGAGATGTAAACATTCCACATTTTCACTATCAGTCACACAATTTCCCATGCATTTACCTTTGCATATTGGTTAAGCACACTGACTTTAGAGGAAGAACAAGGCTACTAGTTGTGTCACCCTAAACAGAATATTTAACAGCTATGTACTGCCTCATCCACTGCTGTAAAATAGAATAATGTTAATAATGCCTACCTACTGGTTTGTTATGAGAATAAATATGGTAATGCAGGGAAAGCACTTAACATAGGAATTGGCTGTTGGTTATTCTCTGTAAATGTTAGCTATTATTATGTTATGTCACACTAGACTCATACATGGTACTCACTCCTATGTGTTCATAAGAACACAAGACCATTCATTATCTCTCTGTTATTCACTTTTTTTCTGTTATATTCTAGGGGAATGTGGTAAGCCAGATTTCCTGGAGAACAGGACTATGGCATCTTTGAGGAGCTCTGTGTTACAGATCACCCTTGCCTTTTTCCTATCCTCTCTCTAACGTATTGGCTTCAGATATTCAAGCACACCCCTGTTACTTCATATTCTTCTCCACTTTTTTTCACCACAAATGAACCTCTCAGCATGCTCTGCTTTGATGCATGGAGAGGTGCAGAATCCTCTCTCACTCTCTTCCTCATTTTCATAACTGAGAGCACTGAGCTCTGGGATGTCTATGGTATCGAGGATAGAAATCATTTCATTGTACTATATAACTACTTTTTTCTTCAGTCCTATATATTCTTGTTCTCAAGAGACAATACAGACCCTGGCAGACTTCTGGAGCAAGAAGTGTATCCTTTGTGCCCCTGATCCAACACCTACAAGTTCCTACACCTGCCAAAAATTCCCCAACCTTGGGTAAAGATGATCTGAATCTTCATTTCTTCATTCATTCCTGACAATATCATTTCTCCTATCCAATATGGTGCCTGCCGCCATCTCTCCAAATCTCTCCTTCTCTTCCTTGGAGTTTTCCTCAGGAATCAACCTATCTCACCTGGTACCTTTAACCACTTGCTGTGGTCTATCTAACCTCTCTTTGAGAGTGGACAATTTTTCAGACATTTACACCAATCAGGGGAAGGAAGACTGGGCTACAAATTTTTATACTTCCTGGAGACCCATATCTGGTCTCTGCCTAGACTGTATGATAGGTATTGCAGCACTAATATGAGAAGACAGAAGCAGAGGCAGGAGAATATATTTAACACACATGTATCTTTTGCCCATGTCTTCTTCCCAGAAGGCTCACTTACACTCAGTCTCTCCTGCCACTAGGGAAACTCTATGTGTGCTGCCAAAACTGTGTCCAGGGGACCTGGACTTGGGAGCTGAATCTCCATCCACCTATCAATTGCTGTTTATACCTGGACCATATTTATTTATACCTGTGGGTAGAGTGTGGCCTTTTTCTGTTGCTACTATATGCAAGGTAATGCAACACCAAGTTACTAAAAAATCAGCAAAAGAAACGTAAGTGGGTTAATAAGGTAACGAATACATTCATTTGTTCAGGTGCTGCAAAAATTGCATCCTCTTTTATTGAGCTCTTATTATGTATAAGGCACTGTGATATACAGTCTTTGGAATAAAAATATGTAGGTCATAGTTTCTTCCCTTCAGGAACTTCTGGTATTCTAAGTAGAATAATAAGTATACGCTATAATGAACATAGAATGTGACATGTGCTATAAGAGAGGCACAAACAAAGTGCTCTAAGAACTCCAAGGAGAGAGAGATACTTGCTCACTTTGGAACCTAGAAAAGGTTTCATCAAAGAGGTGTCATTCCAGACTCATGGCAGGGAGATAGCATGGAAGTAGTGCAATGGGAAATAATTTTGGTTCAGCAGTCAGAAGATCTGGTTATTAATCTAGGTTCAATCATTTTTTTAATTTTTAATTTTAATTGAGTTCATAGTAGTTTACTTCAATGTGAGAATTCAGTTGTACATTATTTCTTGACTGTCACACATAAGTGCTCCCCTTTGTCTCCTGTGCCCACCCCCCATCCCCCTTCCCCTAGTAACCACTGAACTGTTTTCCTTGTCCATGTGTTTGTTTACATTCCACATATGAGTGAAATCATCTGGTGTTTGTCTTTCTCAGTCTGGCTTATTTCGCTTAGCATAATTCCCTCCAGGTCCTTCCATGTTGCTGCAAATGGGATGAATTTGTCTTTTTTTATGGCTGAGTAGTATTCCATTGTATATATATACACCACATCTTCTTTATCCAATCATCAGTCGATGGGCACTTGGATTGTTTCTGTGTCTTGGCTATTGTAAATAGTGCTGCAGTGAACATAGGGATACATATGTTACTTTGGATTATTGATTTCAAATTGTTCGGGTAGATACTCAGTAATGGGATAGGTGGGTTGTATGGTAGTCCTATTTTTAGTTTTTTGAGGAATCTGTATACTGTTTTCCATAGTGGTTGCACCAGTTTGCATTGCCACCAGCAGTGTATGAGGGTTCCCTTTTCTCCACACCCTCTCCAACATTTGCTATTTTTAGTCTTGGTGATTATAGCCATTTTAACAGGCATAAGGTGGTATCTTAGTGTAGTTTTGATTTGCATTTCCCTGATTATTAGTGATGTTGAACATCTTTTCACGTGTTTATTGGCCCTCTGTATATCTTCTCTGGAAAAATGTCTGTTTATATCCTCTGCCCATTTTTTGATCAGTTTGTTAATTTTTTTATTGCTCAATTGTGTGAATTCCTTATATATCATGGAGATTAATTCCTTGTCAGATATATGATTTGCAAATATTTCTCCCAATTGGTGGGTTGTCTCTTTGTTTTGATTCTAGTTTCTTTGGCCTTGCAAAGCTCTTCAGTCAGATGAAGTTCCACTTGTTTATTTTTTCTTTTGTTTCCATTGTCTGAGAAGACATGGTATTCGAAAAGATCCTTTTTAGTTTGATGTCAAAGAGTATACTACCTGTATTAACTTCCAGGAGTTTTATGGTTTCAGCACATATCTTCAAGTCTTTGATCCATTTTGAGTTGATTTTTGTGTATGGCTTGAGATAATGGTCTACCTTCATTCTTTTGCATGTGGCTGTCCAGTTTTCCCAACACCATTTATTGAAGAGATTATCTATTCTCCATTGTGTATTCTTGGCACATTTGTCAAAAATTAGCTGTCCATGGATGTGCGCTTTTATTTCTGGGCTTTCAGTTCTGTTCCATTGACTTGTGTGCCTGTTTTTGTACCAGTACCATGCCGTTTTGATCACTGTGGCTTTGTAGTACGTTTTGAAGTCAGGGATTGTGATACCTCCAGCTTTGTTCTTTTTTCTCAGGATTGCTTTAGCAATTGGTGGTGTTTGGTTGCCTCATATGAATCATGGGATTCTTTTCTATTGCCATGAAGAATGTGATTGGGATTCTGATCGGGATTGCATTGAATCTGTAGGTTGCTTTGGGTAGTATGGACATTTAACTATGTTTAATCTTCCAACCTATGTGCATGCAATCTCTTTCCATCTCTTTGTGCCATTATCAGTTTCTTTCAGTAATGTCTTATAGTTTTCACTGTAAAGTCTTTCACCTCCTTCATTAAATTTATTCCTATCTACTTTATTCTTTTAAGTTGCGATTGTAAGTGGAATTGTATTCTTGAGTTCTCTTTATGTAAGTTTGTAATTGGAGTATAGAAAAGCAACTGATTTTTGTAAGTTGATTTTGTACCCTGCAACGTTACTGTAGTTGTTAATTATCTCTAATAGTTTTCTGATGGATTCTTTGGGGGTTTCTATATGTATGATCATGTCGTCTACAAACAGCGAGAGTTTCACTTCTTCACTCCCTATTTGGATTCCTTTTATTCCTTTCTCTTGCCTAATTGCTCTCGCCAAACCTCCAGTACTATGTTGAAAAAGAGTGGTGATAGTGGGCATCCTTGCCTTTTTCCTGTTCTGAGAGGGATGGCGTTCAGTATTTCCCCATTGAGTATGATGTTGGGTGTGGGTTTGTCATATACGGCCTTTACTATGTTGAGGTAATTTCCTTCTATCCCCACTTTGTTGAAAGTTTTTGTCAGTTGGATCTTGTCAAATGCTTTCTCTGAATTTGTTGAGATGATCATGTAGTTTTTATTCCTCACTTTGTTGATGTGGTGTATCATGTTGATTGACTTGTGGAGGTTGAACCATCCCTATGTTCCTGGTATAAATCCCACTTGATCATGATATATGATCTTTTTGGTTTGTTGCTGAATTCAGGTTGCCAAAATTTTGTTGAGGAGTTTTGCATCTATATTCATCAGCAATATTGGCCTTTAGTTTTCCTTTATTGTGTTGTCCTTGTCTGGCTTTTGTATCAGAGTGATGTTGGCCTCATAGAATGTGTTAGGAAGCATTCCATCTTCCCTAATTTTTTGGAGTAGCTTGAGATGCATAAGTATTAAATTCTCTCTGAAAGTTTGGTGGAATTCCTCAGAGAAGTTGTGCGGTCCTGGGGTTTTATTCTTTGGGATGCTTTTGATTACTGTTTCAAACTCTTTCCTTGTGATGGGTCTACTCATATTGTCTGTTTCTTCTTGATCCAGCTTTGGGAGGTTGTAAGAGTCTAAGAATTTATCCAT